GTGATGCAAAGCTGAATTTTTACTGCAGTCTTTAGTGTCATATGATCCTTTAGAAATGATGAATCTAATGATTTGCTGATATGCTCAGGGGCGCAGCTAGCAATTTTGGGCCCTATGAAAGAAAATGTCGATACTAAATCGATACCATAGGTGGCAAATAACCAGCCTCAAAATTAAGTGAACTGAAAACAAACAAAAAAAGAAAGGAAAAAAAAAAAGTGAATGATCGTCATATATATAGTATTTATTAATCTTAGTTAATATAAAGTATAATGTTAACATACTAAGCATGTATTAGTAGCCTACATTTATCATTTATAAATAATTACTGACCTACATTAATAAGTGCTGTAATATAGTATTTATTAATCTTAGTTAATATAAAGTATAATGTTAACATACTAAGCATGTATTAGTAGCCTACATTTCTCATTTATAAATAATTACTGACCTACATTAATAAGTGCTGTAATACTGTTAATGAATTATAAATGTTTTTTAAAGTGTTATTCTAACAGTCAAAGTAATATTCAAAATCACGTTATTTCTCCCTCAGATTGTTTTCAGATGACTCAGATAAGTCAAAGAAAAACCTTTAAAGGGGTCATATGATGTTGCTAAAAAGAACATTATTTTGTGTATTTGGTGTAATGAAATGTGTTTATGCGGTTTAAGGTTCAAAAAACACATTATTTTCCACATACTGTACATTATTGTTTCTCCTCTATACCCCGCCTTTCTGAAACGCGTCGATTTTTACAAAGCTCATCGTTCTGAAAAGTGAGGTGTGCTCTGATTGGCCGGCTATCCAGTGCGTTGTGATTGGCTGAATTCCTCAAGAGTGTGACGGAAATGTTACGCCCCTCACCATATTGTGATGCTTGCAGCAACCACATGTGACGACCCCGGGCTGGACTCCGCTTCGTCCACGGTGAAAGCTGATCTGGCGATCCACAGCGCGAAGTTGAAGTATTTCCTCAGCAACCAGCATGGATCACCTCCAGGCATGACGAAGCGGATATCGTCCTCTTTTGGAAGACCAAACAAAGTAGTTTCGCTTTCATAACGAAGCACACAGCGTCTTTACGACATGGTGGCGGCAACAACAATACTACAGTGAGAAAAAAAGTGACGCCTTCTTTCTTTGCGTGAACATTTGGGCGGCGTTATGCAAATCTTCCCACATCGTGATGTAGACATGTGGGGGCGTGTTAGAACGAGCCGTTTTAGGTAGGTGTGGCTGACTCTTAACTTTTATAAAGAATATCTCTTTGGATTTGAGACTTTAGTCTTTGCAACTTTACAGATCTTCTTTATGCACCAAGAGCTTGTAACACTCCAAAGAGAAAGGAAAAATTGAAATCGCATCATATGACCACTTTAAGTTTGACTTTTTATATCACAATTTGGACTTTCAGACAATTCTGAGGACAAAAGTTAGGCTGATGATACACGGGGTAACTTTTTGCAGAGCAACTTTTTATAAGCAATGTTGCTTGGGCACGTTTCGATTGAGAATGGGTAACAAATTTCTATCTGGATATTTTAGATCAGTCTTGGGCCAGGTCTCAACTAATGGGCCACTGACAGCAACATTGCTCAAAAAGTTGTGTATCATCAGCCTTTAACTGCAACTTTTTTTCTTTCCAATTCCTTGTTGACATTTCATCTCGCAATTCTGATTTTATTTCTCAGAATTCTGTTTATATCTCGCAATTAAATTTTTATTTCCTTCACAAAATAAACAAAAAATTAAAAAGGTAATTGCGACTTTAATCTTACAAATTTTACTTTTATATCTCGCAATTATGACTTTTTTCTCAGAACTGTGAAAAAATAAAACAGAATTGTGAGACAAGTCTTGATTATCTATTTTATTTATTTATTCTGTGGCAGAAACAGCTCCCACAGTAAAGAGCTCCAAAGTCGCAAAAATACACAAAACTGCAAACGGAGTTGAGTTGCTTTAGCGAATCATTAAAAATATATATTTTTTAAATATTTAAAAATGTGTGTTTACCATTCCTATAAAAAGCATATACTGACATTTAACAATGTTTTTACATTATGTGTATCATATGTGTCTAGGAATATAAGAAGTTCAATAATTAGGAAAAAAAAATTCCATGACAACATTTTCAGTGCAAAAAATATCTCTTTAATTATTTACGATAACATCAATACACAAACAGACAGGATAAATAGTTTGACACTCCTCAATGTCACCTACTGAAACGTAACTTTGGTAAAAAGCAGCAAAAGAACAGATTAAATAGAAGAACCAGAGGAACCGGCAGAAGCTTGCAGACCACACGATAAAACACATTTACAAAGAAGCCAGAGAGAATTACTCGTTCAGTTAGGAGAAAGAAAAACCGCAGAAGCCTGCTGAGGGTCATAAAACCTTGAACATGTCAAAATCATCAAACCCTCTGTCTACAGGGAAAGCTGAATTATAGTACAAGTGTTTTTAAAGCACAACGGAGAATATACAGAGAACGAGCCACCTGATGTGATGGCAAACGGACCGGAAACTCAATCCATATGAACAGCTGAAAGTAGAACAATTCATTTACAGAAATGTGCATTTCACTGAACAATACTTTCCTGTAACCCCAAACTGGGTTGCCCAAAAGATTTACTATGTCAGGAGAAACAAACCATTTATCTTTTCCAAAAAAATTAATTAAACGCACAATGTGTTTTTGATAATGGCATACTTAATATCTAACTACACAATAAACAACTGATGAATCTGTGTGAAGTGCTAATGTACTGAAGGAATTCAAAAACTGTCGGTCTGTCCGGGAAAAACACATGCAAACCACAGCAGGCACCCAATCAGAGAGCAGAGCTGAATGTCCGACATTTACATATGAAATCTCCATTTGTATGCATTACATTTACATAACCAAATCCATTCATATACAAGTCAATTGTAAGTTCAAATTCAAAATCGATCAAATTAATTAGCAATATATATATTTATATATATATATATGGGATTGAGTTAATAAAATATACTAATAATATCATATACAAGTTGCGCAATTTCAGTTCAGTTCAAACTGCTTTCTGTATATTTTGTTTTAGTGATGCCAATCAGGTAAGACACTTTTTTTTGTAGCTGAAATAAACAATTATTTTCAGACTGTGTTTTTTAATCGTTGACTTCCTATGGGACACTTTGGAGCTACAGATGACACTGAAAGAATAAAGTGCAAATGCTACAAGCAAAAAAAGGTCTAATCAGCTACATGAACAGGTGGGCAATAATCACGCTCCTGTGCATCATTTACAACAAAACGTGAAGTGATGCAAAAAGCAAGAGGAGGAAAAAGAGTCACAAAAGACATTTAAAGTTCTGTTTTATCCCTATAAAGCGCCGTGAATCGATCCGACACATGAAGTCAACAAAAATCACTCCTCATTACAACTCATGAAATCATGAAGCTCTGCTCAGATCGGCTGGGACAAAAACATGAGCATGAATATAGTGAAGTTAATCAAAACAAATAATTTAAGACCAATTTATTTCACAGTAAGGCAGATGTTATGATGTTTGTAGAGGACTAACAGGTCTATCCAGCCTGCTGGATTGGATTTGTGTTTTCTAAACCAAGGCCTACTAAATTTCAAATCAACTGGGCTACATAAACTCTTATTTTTGCAATAAGTTTGCAATAATCTTTACAAACAACAGGAGACTGTTTTTCACTAATTTTTGCTATTTTGACATTCAAAATCGCAGCTTGGTTGGTTTGGTGTTCAGTTACAAGTGCTCTTCTGCTGTTTAACGACTAAAATAATAAAGCATGAATTATTTCATACAGGACAAAAACAGGCAACCCTCTTCAATGGCGCTCATTTGTTTCACTGCAGATGTGATCTGATTTGGGGGAAAACGCAACTAAAAGCCACAATATGCGTCGCATAATACCAACTCAAAGGTTTTAACAGCAATTCTGGGTTACGAAGCGTATTAGTCCAATAAATAGGTCAGTTAGAAAGTCTCACTGTATGATTTGTAATCAAATGTCTCTCTGACGTGAGTTTTTTTTTTTTAATCTGTGGTCAGAACTATTTACAATTCAAAACTCCTTGAACATTCGTACATACGAAAACGCAACCTTCTCCAAGGGTGAACGGAAGCTATTCCATGGGATTATAAACATACCAAATGATGCCCAACGCACACGTATAAATACACTGTAGTGCATATTTTTTCCGCGCTCATGCTAACAGATTAATAAAGCATGCACACTATTGCTGGGCTGCAAGTGCTGAATTAAAGTAACAGCGCATTTTTTTGCAGTAAATATAAACATGATTGACACAAAAAATGTAGTAACTACACCATAAATGCATATTATTAAAGTCTACTGTGTTTCACAGCCAACACATATGGCTTTTTGGCTAGGTTTAAAGGGAAAGAGCACTTTTAGATAAACAAGGCAATAATAGATGGCACTCGTGGAGGTAGGAAAACTAAGTTCTTTATGAACTGCAGGATTGCTTGTAATAAAGATATCAATGCAAAAAGAAAAGGCAGTAGAGCTGACTAATTCTGTCAATGGTAAGTTTGTGGTAACATAAGAAAAGTAGTTTAAATGTTTTGCCACTTGCTTGAGCAACTTAATATATAAATCTAGAAGTAAATGCAAAAGTAAAAAGCATTGAATAATGTGTTGCTTATATTTACTGTGTTTAAACATGTCTGTGAAAGATTGTATTACTGTACTGTGTAAAAAAAAAAGAATTGCAATGCTGAAAGAAGCATTTTCAGTGACAATGTTTGGATTTGAAATCAAAATAATGGATAAATGTTGTGTTTGTGGTAATCAGCCACAGATCAGTAGCGGACTCCTGTGTGAAAGCTGCTTCTCCTCTCACAAGAGACACCTAAGAGGGGAATTCCCCCCATTTTCAAAAATGAAATTCAGGCCCTGAATAAATGTCTAAAAATCCTGATTGGAGTATCACTATAAATAGTTATAAATGATAAAACGGCGGCATTAAAAAGATCGGTATCGGTATCGGCAGATGCTGCTTTCTGTGATGGGTCACAAAAATCCTGATCGGAGCACCCCTACTGACTTCATGCCATTACTGAGATATAGAATTATTTTTGGCCATACATATTCTTACCTAAAGTAGCACACAATGTTTTGGTATCATGATTAATTATCAAAAACTAAATTCATGCACTACTACCCATCTTTGCACATGTGCTACTTCCTGTCTCTGGCTTGTTTCCTGTTCGCATCACAACAGATCCACCTACTCACCCACTTTCTCGGTGAGAACTTGCAGGTTAGAGACTCTCTCGTCCTTAAAGAGCTCGATGCCATAGACGCAATCGAAGCCGTCGTACTTGACCATGAACAGTGAGGAGTTGACGCTGAGGCGGTCCAGCACAGTGCCCTTCCACTTGGTCAGCGCGCCCTTCTCCCTCCAGCTGTGTTGGATCCGTCGGCCCAGCAGGTTGTTGGGATCTGGGGTGAGACTGTCGCTCAGCTCGCCGCTGCTGCGCTTCCTGCTGAGCAGACGAAAACAGGAACGTAATAGGCTGCATTAAGTCTGGTGAAGTGCTAATCAAGGATTGTTTTACAACTCAGAGCTTATGACTTTGATTTTATCGATTTTATATTGCACAGCATTCTCTCTTAAAGCATATTCCAAATGCATATGGTTTATGTAACAGATACAAATACTGTGCATTAGTCTAAAGCGATATAAAAAAAAAATAGTATCAGCAGTCGGAACAAAAGTAGTCATAATATTGAAATAAAAATTGATCCTGTTTACTAATCATAATCATTACATAATATAAAATATAACTTAATATATTAATTATAACTTAATTATTTTAAGATTATACATTTATAATTATAAATATTAATATCATAATTCCATTCAGCAAGGATGTATTACATTGAACAAAAGTGACAATAAAGTATTTTATTATGTTACAACAGGTTTCTATTTCAAATGAATGCTGTCCTTTTGAACTTTCTATTCATCCCCAAAAAAATAAAATCCTGAACAAAATGCATCACAATTTCCACAAAAAAGTGAAACCACAAAACTGCTTTCAACATTGTTAATTACAATAAATATTTCTTGAGTAGCAAATCAGCATATTAAAGGGATAGTTCACCCAAGAATGAAAATGTGATGTTTATCTGCTTACCCCCAGGGCATCCAAGATGTAGGTGACTTTGTTTCTTCAGTAGAACACGTATGATGATTTTTAACTCCAGCCGTTGCAGTCTATCAGTCGTATAATGCATGGCAATGGTAACAAAATCTATGAGAGTAAAAAAACATGCACAGACAAATCCAAATTAAACCCTGCGGCTCGTGACGACACATTGATGTCCTAAGACACGAAACGATCGGTTTGTGCCAGAAACCGAACAGTATTTATATCATTTTTTACCTCTAATACACCACTATGTCCAACTGTCTTTGGGTGCGCGCACGGCATCCGGTGCGTGAGGTGTGTACGCGCTCTGGCGTAGTTTACGTTAATGGGTGTGCTGATATCCAGCCGAAGAGCAATCAACCGTAACTTCAGGCGAGCAGGCTCAGAAGTTGGGAATACGTGGAAAGTTACCACTCCCGAATGAGTCGTGCGAGAGAACGTAATCTTTTAGTTTTAAGTCGGTTTGAACAATCCGGATAAGCGCAAGTAAGTACCATTTTGATTAGCCGTCGTACCTACAATGACTGTGAACTGTGTAAACAATGAGTGACGTATACCCGCGAGAGATCACTTCCGGCGCTCGCGTAAACTACACCAGAGCGCGTACACACCTCACGCACCGGATGCCGTGCGCGCGCCCAAAGACAGTTGGACATAGTGGTGTATTAGAGGTAAAAAATGATATAAATACTGTTCGGTTTCTGGCACAAACCGATCGTTTCGTGTCTTAGGACATCAGTGTGTCATCACGAGCCGCAGGGTTTAATTTGGATTTGTCTGTGCATGTTTTTTTTTACTCTCATAGATTTTGTTACCGTTGCCATGCATTATACGACTGATAGACTGCAACGGCTGGAGTTAAAAATCATCATACGTGTTCTACTGAAGAAACAAAGTCACCTACATCTTGGATGCCCTGGGGGTAAGCAGATAAACATCACATTTTCATTCTTGGGTGAACTATCCCTTTAAGGCTTATTTCGGAAAGATCATGTGACACTGAAGACTGCAGTAATGATGCTGAAAATTCAGCGTTGATCACAGAAATAAATTACATGTTATAATACATTCACATAGTAAACAGGTTTTTAAATAATAATCATATTTCACAACATTACTGTTTTTACTGTATTTTTGATCACATACATGCAGCCTTGGTATCTTACTGACCCAAAACATCTGAATTAAAGTGTACATTATTCTAAATAAAACACATTTATCGTCATAATCCTTCATCAAACTTGCTGACCTTACAAAGTCCTTTTATTTGTCAACCACCTGGCTCACTTCTGATCTGTAACAGCCACTTTTCACAATCCAACCAATTCCAAAACAATTCCCACCCTATATTTTTCTTGATTAGCTTATTTCGATCAGAAATACATCAAGAAATACATCACATTGACTCTACAGGCACCTACTAGAAATAAATACTGACAAATATGTTGAAAAACGTTGTCTACTCACTCACATGAGATGAAGAATGACTACCAACTTTACTTACAGAGTAGCCACGTGGCTGACCTTTCAATAAAACTCCCAGCCTCTCACAACTGACTTTAGTTCAGCCGAGCACAAGAGTTCGGAGCTCAGTTTAATCATTCATTGCTACCGGTCTGCGTCTGTCACTCAACATTTCTAACACTCAAAACACATTCCTGGAAATGTCACAGCATAATCCAGCCAGCTACCAAAATATTCTTATCAGCCTGGAGCTGCTGATAATCTAAGCGTGTGCATAAATAGCCAATTTTGGACTATATTGTGTATATTAGTGGTCAGCCAATGTGGGCAGATACAGAAACATATCTGGAGACAATGTAGCAAATAAGACGTATACTTGAAACTTATTAGTCAATGATTCAAAGGAATGGTTCACCCAGAAATGACCATTTGGAGGTCCTCAAAGAAGTAGATGAGTTTGTTTCTGAATTGGATAAATGTAGCTTTACATCACTTGCTCACTAATGGATCCTCTGCAGTGAATGGGGGCCGTCAGAATGAGAGGCCCAACAGCTGATAAAAACATCACAATAGTAATCCACACTACACCAGTCCATCAGTTAACATCCTGTGAAGTTGTGTGGATTGCTTGTGGATTATTGTGATGCTTTTATCAGCTGTTTGGACTCTCATTCTGACGGCACCCATTCACTGCAGAGCATCCGTTAGTGAGCAAGTGATGCATGCAATGCTACATTTCTCCAAATCTGTTTTGAATTAGAATCTTAGACGACCTGAGGGTGAACCCATTTTCAGCAAATTTTCATTTTGGGTGCACTATCCCTTTAAGTCACTGACTAAAAGTGATCGTAATCCAAGGTACATCAATATCTATATTGCTCAAATTAATTTACTATGCTATTTACACGTTACACAAATACTGGTATCCCTGCAACGTCATCATATATCAAAGTACCATGGTACTGCCATTCGAATACAGCACATTTATATTGTTTTTACTCACCTGCCCCTTTTCTTGGACATGTTTCCAAAACCTCAAACACACCTAGAAGAGAAAAATGACAAATTTACAAATAAACCAACAGGTTTGCTGGGTCTTGGTTTCAGGCAAAACACTACAAGCAAAAACCATTGCACTGGTCAATTTTGAGATTTTGGGCTATTTTGCTTCCATGACATTTCATTTATCCACTTCAGAAGCAGTTACACAGACCAGTCTTTACAGGTTTATTCCTATCCTGAACGTTTTTACAGAGTTGTTTTTTTTTATAATATATCATTTACCTATTTTTATACAACATCAGCTGGGAAGTATGGTGAAATCTATTAGTTCAAATGTTTACCTGTGGTGTTTTTGGGGTTAAGAGCAATGAACACAACTGCAGATAATACTTTCATTTCAGTATACAGAAACTGATGGAGTGTCAGCATATGGTTGGCCACATGATTTTGACAGCTCCATTCAGTCCTAAATCTACTACATTAGTTGAAATGTTACATTTTATTGTTAAACAGATGTGACTTGTGTATGTAACATAGTCATAGTGTATGTAACGCCACGTTGTCTTTTGTTATTTTGTAGCCTTGCCACATTAATCTGGCCTCTGATTGGACAATGACTCAACAGCGTCCATGTTGCATAATTACATCGAATCTGCGGCATGTATTTATGTTTATGGTTTAATATCGAGTTAAAGTGGACGTGGAATCCCCGCAGCAAATGAGACATCCTCAATATTGCGGCATAATAGAGGCCGGTTTATTTTTCATGTCTTAATATGTGAAAACTGTGCTGTTTCTACACATATCGTCCAATATATAACATTCCCATCCTAACTACCATACCAGACTTCAGAAATGCAACTAAACGAGTGTTGAGAATCTATAAAAAGCCACAGAATCGGGTCGTTTCGCTGCCTCACATGAAAACCACCAACGCAGCTATAAAACGCTTGCGCAACCGGCCGCTTTACTTTCGTATTTAATCGTCATACACACTCTAAGTTCCACGTGGACGTGTGTTTTTGTATAGATTGTAAGAAAAGCAAGATTACCTGGCTTCTATTTTCATGTCTAGGATGGACTTCCCTCTGCAGCTATCCTCATGTATAATGATCCTCCAGACGTCAGGCAACAAGCTGGCAGTGGCACGGCCTGTTTAAACTACAACTCCCATAATGCATTGTCGCTGACAATCGCGCGAACAGCGGGCAGGGAATTCTGGGAGCTGTAGTTGAGAGGGTGCGTGAACCCAGAAAGGGGCGGATACGCATTCTTCCTGTGTCTTCTGTTTGACTGCCACGGTGTAAATGATCAAATAAAAGCCAGTTATACAAGGAGTTACTAACGAAACACCTGCATTAATGTCATCAGAGATGATCAAATCTATCTGGATGTTATTGTGAATCTTATGGGCGGGTTAATGTTGACTACTTTTATGAGCACTGACGGAACTACATTTCCCAAAACACACCAAGACTTGTCTTTGTCATTCCTATGGTCAGATTTGTAGGAATGGGCCTTTGCTTTATTCAAAGCGTGTTTCTTATACCATGTAGGGGGGGGGGGGGGGGGG